ATTTTAAGCCTGTTATTACAAATGTTCGATGTGGGCTCCTTGCGTCACACGACATATGTCCAAACGATAGTCCAGTTCAGCCTATACACGCTGCAATGTGTCTCGATTGATATTGTTAATAACAGTAGTAATGCGTTCCCGGAGTTGATCCAATGTTGTTGGCAGAGGTGGTATGTAAATCATATCTTTAATGTAACCCCAAAAGTAAAAATCGGAATCGGAATGCACGCTGCACTGTAACAACCGATAGACATCGCGCGTACTCTAACACACAAAACGCTTTCTGCTGCATAGTCGCCATTTTATATACTGAGCTTGTGGCGCTACCTAGGGAGGTAAAGCGGCGTTCGCAAGCACGTGCTTTAAATTCGAACATTTTCATTTTCTAGTGATATGTTATATGATATTATATTTGCAATACCCTGTGAAATATAAATTTTTAAAACCCGATGATTCTTTTGTAATAACCCTGTACATGAATCTTTGTTTTTTGACGTGTCGGAGGATCCTGATCATTTCTGTAAACATTTCCAGGGGTATCAAAATTTTTCGATATTAGTACATATTTCACAAATAATAGATTTTGCTGTACAAGCCGAATCTACCCACAAGAATTTTCAGCAGATGGATCGCCTACCTATAGGTCGCGCCATTTTGTAAATAATGCATCTCAGGTAGAGAATCCTGGGGACAAAAGCAGATGGACGAGTGACGGCGTGGCACAATGTGGCCGATATTATTTATACAGGATGTTACAAATTCGACCCTCACCATTGGGATGTCGGAAACTGTCAGAGATATGAGATTTACTATATTAGAAAGTTTCCCAATTCAAAGTACTCCCGGAAAGAGATGAAAAAATCCAAATTTTCCCAAAGTCGTTTAAATGTTTACCTAACTTTATTTGTAGCGGGATTTCAAAATTAATTGCACATCAACGTTGCCACTTTTTCTCCTGAACAAGATGGCATGATTAGAATTACAACATGACGTTTCATATCTTGTCCTCCAGCATCAACTTTATTTTTTCTGAGGGACGCCATATTGGATTTGTGCACGGATGAAAAGAGTTTCTAATTCTGATTTCAAAAACGTATGACACGTCATACATTGACATTACGAAGCTCTAGTTATTTCAAAAAAGCGGAATTTCGTATGTAGACATTGAAATTATCAGATAGTTATTTGTTTCGCATACCAGATTTCCCTTTATTTGAGATTTGATACCGAGATAAATTTCATGTTAACATTGTTAGTTTTCCTCATCTACACGGTGGTACAATTAGAATTTCATTGTGACGTTTCATCTTTTGACCTCCAGCATCAACTTTATTTATTTCTTCTGGACCCCATATTGGGTTTTTGATAGATGAATAAAGTTTTTCATTCTGATTTAAAAAATCTATAATATGTCATACATTGACATTGCTAAGCCTCAATTACTCCAGAAATCAGTTCCTGTGTCGGCCTTTTGACATTATCAGATTTCATATGTTTTGTATACCAGTTCAGACTTCAAGTTGAAGACAGAGTTTTTAAGACTGAGAAGAAGAGAAATTAATTGAGTAGTGAACAATGAATAGAGAAGAGTCAGGTTTTGCCTACAGAATAACGGACAAGATTTTGAACAGCTGCTATGATTTACCTCTGCTTATTTATGATTATTATTGTTGTTACCATCAATAAAATTTTCATCGTGTTGATGTTTTACCATACCTCCTTATTTCTTTATAATTTTCATCCAACAACAGGTTCATGGCCAACTAAGCAAACACATGCATCACCGAATTTGGAACTAAAAAGCTATTTAAATGTACAAAATTCCAATCTAGCGTCCGTATGAAAAAACAAAGTTGGTGATGGAGGTCAAAAGAAGAAAAGACGAACTGAAAATTTAACTACGCCATCTTGTAGAGGAGAATAAGTAACAAGGACAACATTGAATTTATCAGGCCATAGGAAAATAAAAGTGATTTTGGGATAAATCTGGTATGCAAAATGACAATCTGGTGATTCCAAGCCCCGCAGAAAACCTGTTTTTTTTTTTAAATAACTATCATTCTCTTCCTGAAAATATTCTAATAAATTTAGCACGAGCTGTCGGCCTTCCCCATTGATCGTATTTCCGGGCATTGTACAAGTTTATGTTGAAAATTGATAACAGGACCACTCAAATTGCACGCCGATGTGAAGTGAGTTGCCACTCTGATAAATACGATAGAACGGCTCCCGCACGCAACGACAACGTTTTCGAGACTGAGACACAACTAAAAAGCGTATGTTTTTAAGCTTGCCGAACAAACGTTCACGCACAGGGGTATGTTGCATGTGTATACATGAGGGAGATGGAGATATATAAACGGATACTGGTAGTCTTACTTTGACCCGTCAAGAACGGTGACTACAACTATACTAGAAAATGAACAAAATCTCCAACACTTATAAAATCGTCAGTACAAATAACAAAAGTGGATCGTCAGAATGTAGTTTCGGTGCACCTTCCAAATATCTAAACGAAATTTAAACTTCCCCATACACAGGGAGCTGTTATTGGGTAAAACAGTTTTGTCAAATTTTAACCAGTCTGGACCTGTATTTCTTTTCGTCTTCCTGTCGTAGTTGATTTGATAACACAAGCAGAACGCGCTTACCAAGTTTCAAAAAAAATATGACGGGTGGTTAAAGAGTTGTGAGACCATAAATAAATGGCAAAAAACCAGATACCCATAAAACCTCCTGTGTCTCGGTTACGAGAAGATAAAGACCCATTAACTACAGGTGATTTATAATTAACTATCGACAGTTGGTGCATCTCCCTCATTCACCGAAACACCCTGTATAAAAAAGAACGGTAACTCAATGATTGAGATATCAACGCAACTTTACAGCAAGGTTCTTCATAAGGCCTTAGAACTAAGGAGGAATTTTTCAAAATCGATCCCCTAGGAAGTGAAATAGCGGAGGGAAGTTTGCCCTGCTTTTGCCTATTTCCCCACTTGGAATGTGCTGGTAATTCGCAATAAAAATGAAACTGGACCGTACACCATTCGTTGGACGGAACAAAGAAGTACTGATATTTGAATTTCCTCGCTGGTTAATATAAAACAACAAAATAGTTATTATCCTGGTTTGACTGTACTATTTCTTCTTCCGGTAGCTGGTACGTATCTACCTGGGCTGTATACAAAACTCCCTAATCACTGTTCTCTAACTGCCTTTACGTGTGGTTCTCTGTGTGATTAAGAACTTTATAGACTGTTATTCCATACATTTACCTCCGCAGTTTTATCCCTAAAATTACTTCCAGTAAAGTTCCTAATGTAACACAAATTGTATATGTGGAAATAAAATATCCCTAGGGCACGCAATTACTGATTCGGTTCAGAAGTTTTTTCACCGGTGATTTGATTTTCCCTTGAATAGCACACAAAAGTTTTTCGTTTTAATCCTCGGGGTTTCTTAAATCGTGTACAGTGGCTTAGGCACAATAGCGACACGAGCTTTGTCAATCGACGCTTGATGTGGAAGTAGCGAATTTCAAAAAGCGCAATTTTCCGGAGAGGTTTTCCCAACCGCATTCTTAAAGAGTACATAACAAACACAAGAGACGACTGCAAAAACTGAAAAAATGTCAAGGAGGTCGACTCTACTACTTATTGTTAACCAAACAATAATCTTTCCGTGGCGGATAGGTAAGTACGTAAATGAATATATAAAAAATACAGAAAAAAGTCATTTTTATCCTAAAGCAGATATTGAATGATCAAACTTATCTCGAGGAAAAGATAATGAAATAACGGATCTAAAGGTTTTTTCTCAACTGATCACATTTTCGGCTATTCACGTTCTCTTCAAGCCCAATGTTATTCATTTTTGTTGGACTCCTGATAGATGGCGACTTAAGATGTCAAGGATCTACTATCTTAATGAGCATGTAATCACAATAAAAAAAGTTGTCTCTCCATTTTCGTTTTCAAGAAATGAGCATCCCTTGGAATCTAAAAACATTATAATATAAGTATCATGATAACACAGTAGGGTAAGCCTCTACAATATGCTCCACAACGCTGTCGCTCAAACAGACAGATATAGACAACGGGTTGCGTCGCGCATGCAATGAAAATAGTACCTCTCCGACTTGACTGCCGTGAGAGTGCGATTTTAGCATTCAGTGTTAAATTATAGTAGAATCTTTAAATACAACCTTGAGACATATTGCGGTAAATACTGTACAAATTATTGAATATAGGGACCTATTTTTTGTATCAAAATTACATTTAGGACTATGGCAACAGTGATCACCTACAATTTGACGTGTTGCACACACTCATAAGCCTTTCATGGCTGCCATGTTTACCATAGCGCGTATTGTAATTAGAAATTTACAAAATGCCCCGGCTGTCATAGTTTAATATGCCCCAGTTTTACAATCATATATTTTCTTTTATTTACGAACAAAATGCTATTCCAGAACACTATTTTTCTTTATCTGATGCTCTAAAAGATCAAGATTTAGTAGCAAATGACCCTAATGAGGAAGAGGCCATTTCCAGTGCAGAGGAATCAAAATCCTTTGGCGCAAGAAGATATCAATGCCTCAGAAGTACCATCGGCAAATACTTTACGAGGAGTTCCGGCAAGTGATCATCAAAGGATTGACGAAAATTAGCCACTTACTAGTACAGAATTGTCGGAGCCAAATATAGTACCACTGGAGCCACCAACTCAAATAGCGCCTCCGAAACGTCCGGATATACTCTGCGAATTTCCTGAAGAAAAAGAAACGCCGTCGAAGATTTTTGCCAAAGTACACCGTGTACCGAACCTACCTGCAATGACTTTAAAGAGAACACAGAAAGCTGTTATTTTAAGGTCACCAGAAAATATACAAAAACGGAAGATATTGAAGAGAAGACAAACCTGCGGGATTTTCTAAAGAAACCAAAGCATGTGAAAAAATGGAGCTTCAATGAAACCAATTAAAATAAAAAACAAAGAAAATGCCAAAGCAAAGTAAAAATAAACCAAAATATGAGTCATCAGAGACTGAAAGTGATGAGGAAGAAAGTCGAAATGGTTCGGGTGAAGAAATATCAGAAGATGAAAATAGGTGTAAGGGATGCATGGAAAATAATTATAAGACGACTTCTAAGGAAGATTGGATAAAGTGCACATCTTGCTCTTTTTGGATACACAAGTTTGAAGCTATTAGAAGTAAAAAGAAGCGCCAACCATGTGAGAGATATGATGACTGTTAGGATGGATTATAAAGTTTGTTTCAACTTAATAAGTATATAATACTCGTAGGACTAGAATAGTACTTACCTATGTTGTTTTTCAAAGTTTTGTTTTTTTTATGCGGAAGGGAGTGGTATGATGACTCCATTTCATGTGAAACATTTTTTTAGGTTTTTGCTTATTTTATGCGAGACATTATAACCGATAATAAAGAATTTTTGTAGTTTTTTAAGGGTTTCTTTCATTTTATTATTCCGGGGCATTTTGTAACAGAACTGTGAAGCATAAGATCTTGCAGAGTGAAAAACCAGAGTACCTTTTCAATAAACTACAAGCTGTTTATAACTTAGAAACAAAAAATAATCAACCTCTCGTTGTATACCTCCACTCAGTCGTTCACACCTCAGACCATCATTATACAAGAAAAGCTTTTCATACCAGTAGAGTAATTGCAGAGTGCGGGAATTTCAAGATAAAATTAAAAACAATACCTCTTCTATCTAGGTCCTTAACTTTTTTTAACACCAAAGCAGACGCGCAGGCCGAAGCCCAAATACCAGTGCACCGCGGGTGGTATGATGATCCCAAAGAAACTTTATTTGTCCGATGTTGTAGCTGCCTAAGGTTAGTAGAACTGGAAAAGCCTCCTGTTGTATATTATCCCACAATCTCGACACCCTAGGAATAAAGGAACGGTCGTAACGCCCAGTTCTGGACGTACGAAGTCAGGCGGGTCTGATGACATCATTGATCAAAAATTTAGCAGTAGTTTAGTAAGATTTTGTCCGGTGCGAATTTTTTTTATAATTTGTTTAAAGCAAAATTTCTACCACTAATGGCTTCCACTTTGTCCATCTTGAACCGCGAATATCTGAAACGCAACCATATGCCACGCCAACCCAACCCACATGGTTAATCATTTAAATCTGCATATTTCATTTACGACCCGCTCATAAACATAATTTTGCTTTCCACGTTACGATCGCAGGGATTGCGCATGCATAAAGACATATCGTTAAGCCAGGCAAAAAGTCTCCCATGTAATAATTTATGGTATGCGTTTTATGGCGTCCATCTTATGGTGTGAGAGATGTCACGTAAAATCACTTTTATGGGCGGACATTACACAGAGTTTGTCGAATAGCGCTGCTATGGAGAGGAGTTAGACGCGTGAATGCAAACACAACATGTCCACCTGCGTTCTCTGCGTTAGTTTTCTCCATAGTACAGGGTGCGGCACACTGTAGGAAATTCGGTATAGAGGTGCCAGGGAAAAGATTATACAGGGTGACTTCGAAGTTGAGTCATTTATTTTAACAGTGAGTAGATCTGATCAAAAGAAATGTTTTTTTCCTTTAACATTTTTCTGGTAAAATTAAAGTAACAAAGTTATAGCCCTTTAGAAGTTTGAGTACCGCCCTGTCTCAATAATAATATTATGTGCTCGTGTTTGGCAAGAACGGATATAATCCGCCTTATCGGTTCATCGCATCGGAAACAAAAAAGCGAAAGAATTTGAAACCCTGATCACGATGTTTTTATTCAGTCAATGAGTCAGTCGGTATAGTGGTGTTTGCTGCGTGGCACAAACGAAATAAAAAATTGCACATGTTTATGCGGATCGGTTTCCCAATCGAGTGCAACCAACCCCTCGTGCCTTTGTTAATGTAGTACAACGGGCTCGTGAATCAGGTGACTTAAGACCTCACAGGGGACGGCATGCCGGTGCTCCAAGACCTTACGATCAAATACAGGTCCGCACTGAAATACTTGTCGGGAGGATACTTTATAAAACAAGGTAAAAATTTTTTTTAATTTTTTTTTTATTTTTACACACATATTTTGGTTTATCTTCCTTCTACAGTCATTATCTGAAAATTAATGACACAACTTCAAAGTCTCCCTGTATAGCCACTTTCAAGCAAAAAAATGCTCAATAGTATTGCCCTATCGGCATTTCCTGTCCAAAGTGTAAGTCTCTCGAAACATGCCGCATACTCACTAAAACCCCTCAGCCGTTCGATATACGTTCCAGCACGGTAGTGCTTGCAGGATTTCGTCATGGTGGGTAGCTCTGTATCTAATTTTCATACCATAGGTCTTATTTTCACCGTCATGCATATATATATATATATATATATATATATATATATATATATATATATACAGGGTGTTCCATAATTATTGCGACAAAATGATAGGGGTTGTAGAGGGCATCAAAATGAACAATTTTTCCTTATAAACCCCTGTTCGGAAATATGCCGTTTGGGCTGCAGCAAAAAAAAAGATCAGTTTCTTGAAACAGCTTACCTACAGTAATTGCTCAAAGTGTCCTCCACCTTGCTCAATACACAGCTGTGCACGATTGTTCAATGATCGGCGAACTCTGTGGCATACCCCCGGTATGTCCTGAACATGTGCGGACGCGGCCATCACTCTTCCCAGTAGCTCTTGTTGGTTGGGAACAGGAGTTTCGTACACTAAAGCTTTCAGATAGCTCCAGATAAAATAATCCAGTGGGGTCAGGTCAAGTGACCGCGCAGGCCAAGGCACAGGGCTACCTCGGCCTATCCACCTATTTGGAAATTTGTCGTCCAAATACTGTCGCACTTGTAAAGAAAAATGGGCTGGACCGCCATGGTGTTGAAACCACATGTTGGCTCTTATATTCAGTGGCACATTTTGTAATAGTTCCGGTAGTACATGCTGTAAGGATCGACCATAAGCATGCCCATCCAAACGTGGTGGAAGCAGATATGGCCCGATGATATGCTCGTCCACAATGCCGCACCAGATGTTAATTGAAAACTGATGTTGGTCTCTATGGATGGCTATGGCATGAGGGTTTTCTTCATCCCAAATGTGACTGTTATGGCTATTAAAATAACCGTCCTTTGTAAAACAGGACTCGTCAGTGAACAAAACGTAGCGACTAAAGTTTGGTTGCCTCAACTCCTGCTGCAGCCACCAACGGCAAAAACGTCTACGCGGCAGATAGTCTGCTGGACCCATGGCTTGGACTTTTAAAAGGTGGTACGGGTGTACGATAACAAAAATGTAAACACAGCAGGCTTTTTTTACAAACCGGTGAGACCATGAAACGTGCTAGACGAACATTTTGCAGCTGGTGAATTTTTTGTTTCTCCTATGAGCTCTTAAGGTAAAATTAACTGTAGTGCTCAAACGGCATATTTACGAACAGGGGTTTATAAGGCAAAATTGCATATTTTTATGCCCTCTACAACCCCTATCATTTTGTCGCAATAATTATGGAACACCCTGTATATACAAGCCCCTTCCCACTTCAGTTGTCCCAACTATTGAAATCTTAGTTTTTTTTCCTCAAACACAAATAATGAAAATGTAGCAGGGTGTTATAGGTTTAAAATATTAACAATGAATATTTTGATAATATATAGTAGAAAACACTACCTTTATCACACCCTAATCAAATTTGCAGCGTAAAAATAACACATGTTGCAATTACAACATATCAACCTATTTTCATTTCAATGCAAAATAAGTCTATAACGCATAGGTGGCTGTGAAAAATAAAAGCCATGACAATTGTTTTTATTAATCACAGCTGTCAGAATACGTTTAAAATAGTTTTGGGTAGTTAAGGTTTTCAAAATCGGTAGAGGAAAAGTTATTAGTGAGAAAATTCGGTTACTGATGATTAAATTTTTTAATTCTGGGAAGTCAAACTCAGAAATTGCAACTTTGATGGACTTGCCGCGGTACAGTGTGAGAAATATTGTTAGAAGATATAACGTAACTGGTTCAGTTAATATCAAGCCACGATATGTGAAAAAAAGTAGTATCACAAATGCCGACCGAAAAGCATTAAGAAGAATAATCGTGAAAAAACAGGCGTGCCAGTTATTTACAATTAAGTGCTCTGTGGAGTGACGCTGTTGCAAGGAGAATTTCGAGCTCCACAACTCATAGAGAGGCCCACAAACTGGGATTTAGCACTTGCAAGCTAAGTTTTCCTATAAAAAAGGTGAAGTAAAAACCCTAAAGTTGCACAACTTGTTTATAGGCCAAAGAAAAGCCACTATTAACTCCACTGCAAAAGAAAAATCGGCTTAGATTGGTTAAAGAACATAGACAATGGACACCTCAACAATGGTGTGCAATACAATGGAGTGATGATGCCCAATTCAAAGTTTGTGTTGGTGACAGTCGCAGTAGAGTTATTCGCAAAAAAAATGAAGCATTCCAAGTTGACTGTCTGAAGAGAAAAGTGAAATTTCCAGCATCCGTTATGGTCTGGGGCAGTATGTCATCAAAAGGAGTAGGAAAACTTCATTTTATTGATGGAAATGTGGATACAAACAAATATTTGGCAATTTTAGAAGAATCGCTTTTACCAAGATTTTGTGTTTCAGTAAGATGGTGCAGCGTGCGATACCTCAAAAAAGGCTATAAAATGGATGGAAGAAAATAATGTACCACTTTTGAAATGGGTTTCTAGCAGTCCAAATCTGTCACCTATTGAGACTTTGTGGCACGAGATGTAAAAAGGTTCTACGACAACATTCTGCTCGTACAGTCACCGAACTGAGACAAAAGCTTCACAAAATATGGGATTGTTTCACACCAGATGTTTGCCAATACTTGGTTAACACTATGCCCCAAAGAATTTCAGCCGTAATAAAAAGATTAGTTATAGGTCTAAGTGAAAATATGTATTTTTTACGACTAGAGTGTATCTAAAATATTTTTGAGAAAATAAATTGTTTTAGAAGTAGTTTCGTCATGTTTAGTTTATAAAGGCATATTTTGGTACAAATCTTGAAGTGAGCCAACCCAAGTGGGAAGGGGCTTGTATATATATATATATATATATGTGTGTGTATGTACTTATGCACATGCACAACCTGGCAATTAGGAACCTGTTTTTGGCTTCTTGGTCTATTTTTGTCCTCCTGCACCTTGCAGAGTATCATTCGTCACACTATTGGTTGGTCAACCCACCTGCCCTTGCGTACATGCCACCGAGCGCCAATTCTAG